AGCTTCAGCTGCCGGAAGGTATCCAGGTACATCACGTTGACGGAGCTCCCCGTATCGATGTAAGTGCGGTGGATGATGGAGTCACCGATCTCACACCAGATGACGAGGGCGTCCCTGTGTGATTCCGTCCCCGGAGGCAAATCCTTGTAGGTGAAGGTGATCGCCTCCGTTCGCTGCTTCTTCGGCTGGGGGGGAACGTGGGACACCTCCCCAATGTAGAGGGATTGGGCCCATTTCTTTCTCTGAGTGGCGGAGTCCCCCCCAGTGTTCCCACCTATGATGAGGTGAATGTGATTCTTCTTTGGTGGGGGTTCTTCGAAGTCCTCGTCGTCGCTGAGCCTACCAATCTCTCGCTTCTTCGCAGAGGGTTCGCCCCCATGTTTGCCGGTGTTTACCCACGTGTTTTTGCGTGGGCCACCTTTAACAAACTGGGAGAGTTCCCCCTGGCGAATGAGACGCTCGATGGCCTTCTTCAGCGTGACGCAATCGTCGGTGTTGTGCGACGAGTTCTTGTGGAACCGGCAGTATGTGCCGCCCTACTGGATGGCAAGGACCTCCTCGGCCGGTCGAGGAGCCTGCTCGATGAGGCCGTGCTTCTCGGCATAGTCGAGGATGATGCCGACCGGGTGAGTGAGGGCACCCCCCGGCCGTTCCAACCTCGGCCGCCAGTGGCGATCTTTCTTACTCTGTCCACCAGAGCCGTGACGGCCCTGGGCACCCTGGCCGGCCGGGGATGGACCCGGGGCCGGCGAAGGATTTGTCTTCTTGGAGGGATGGCCCCCCTCTTTCTTGTGATTGTGGAGCTCGTCGGCGTCGGCGTACAAGCCTCCGCGCTGGAGCGCCTTGGCGTACGACCTCGGAGGGTCGGTGATAAGGCTCTTAGCGTACGGGGAGCTGCGGAGGGCTCCCTGATACAAGGCGAGGAGGGTGCGCTCATCGGCCCCCTCGACTTCCTCGGTTTCCCTCGTCCACCGATCAATGAATGACCGGAGGGACTCCTCGTGCTGCTGCTTGACGGAGAGGAGGTGGGTGAAATACTTCTTCGCACGCTTCCTCCCGGCAAAGTGAGTGAGGAAGCGTTGGGCGAGATCCTGCCATGAGTCGATGCTCCCTTCGGGGAGCGCGTTGAACCACTCGTACGCTGGCCCCTCGAGAGTAGAGAGAAACCAACGGCAGAGGTACTCGTCTGACGCATTCACCATCAGCATGTTGTTCTGATAACGGCTGAAGTGTTCCTGGGGGTCTGATCGGCCGTCATAGGACTTGATGGCGTTTCCCCTGTACTTCTCCGGGATGGGGGCCGAGAGGACCCTGTTGGTGAAAGGGGTCCTGGTCCTGACCTGGATGATGGGGTCACCTCGCCCCTCGCCCAGCTCCCTCTCCAGGGCGCTAACCTTGTTCATGAGCGCGTTGAGGCCGGGGTCGTTGGAGGCGCCGGCCGTAGGGATGTTGGCCGACTGCTTGGCCTCCATCTGAGCCAGCCTCCTTTCCAGCTGGGCGATGACTTCATCCCGGGGGTCCTTGGCGGCCGCAGCGGCGCCCGGCTGGTTCCTCATGCGCTCGTCGTGAGCCGTATTGATCCGGTGGCGCACGTCGTCTTCATGCAACTTACCCTTGCCCTTGTCCGGGCGGGGCTGGTTCGCTGTCCGGGACACAGACCCCAAGCTTTCCCTCGGCGAGCCAGGACGAGGCTCACCAATCCGTCCCGCCATCCTCTCCGAAACTGGACGACGGCGCGTGTCGCCTAGCCTGTTGAAGGCAGGCTTTTCCACGCGCTGGGGTCTGCCCAGGCCGAAGAGGGGAAGCAGGGTGGGAATGGGACGACGCCGTGTCCTGGGGCACCACCCCCTCATCGTTGCCTATCTGGACGGCCAACGGTTGGGGCTGAGGAGGTGGAGTGATGTTCCCCCCGGTCCTTGGCAAGAGTGCGCTGAGGACGGTGGGGTTCTGAGCTAGGCTGGCGATGATGACCGACAGCGCGGCCTGGACCTGTGGATCCACGGACGGAGAGGCCGCGACCATAGGCTGGGCCGGGGCGTGGTCCGTTTTCTCAGCTCGTTTCTTGTCCAAGCCGATGCGGGTGTCAGGGGCTCCGCCGTTGAGTTGGTTGCGGAGGTCCGCCGTGAGGTTGAAGGCCTCCTGGAAGACGTCCCCTCCGCCGACCTGGTCGGCCGTGGCGTCCTCATCGTGCTCTCTGGGCTCTTGGTCCTCAGGGATGGCCTTGCTGACGAGGTTGCGGTTTGATTTAGTTCTTCCCATGATCAGTGGTTAGCTGTGCTTGGTAGCGACGAAGGGTGCTAACTTGATTGTTCTAGCTCTCAACGAGAGCACCAAATGATAGAGTATATCTAGAGAGAAGTGAGAGCTAGAGAGAGAAGTGCAATAATATGCTTCAATAGAATGAATTTGTCACCCCCATAACTACTACCAATGGGAGTATTTATAGAGAAAATACGGGCTGGGCTCCCAAGCCTTGGGCTTGGGAGGCCCATTTACAACTGGACCGCTACTGGGCCGAATACAAAGCCACTAATGGGCTGTACAAATGAGTAAGTGTAGAATCCGGTTCTGTGAGGTCTTCGCGGCCGACGAGGGCGTGGCCGACGAGGGCACGGCCGACGAGGGCACCCGGGTTCCTTGGCTTCAGGACCATAATCTGAGTTGGCACCTTCCCGACCGACGGGGGTCCCTTGGCCGACGTGGGCGCCACTCGGTGTCTTGTGCTTGCTGCTCTTCTGAGTATGTGGGTCCTGGGGCTCAGACACATATACTCCATCACACATGATCTTGGTTTGGGATACAAACAATGTACACATCAAAACACTGTCATCAACTATATATGAAGGCATATTATTTTATTTTGACTCAGTACTTGGCACAATTGCATCACTGTAAATCATTCAGGCATATAGGCAACATTTAGGCACATTCATTCAACAGTTAGGGCATAACATCATATAGGCAGAGAGGCATATAGGCAACATAGATTGAGACTGAATCAGTTAGGGCATAACCATTATAGGCAATAAGTAATTACATATTCAAGCAATACCCAAGCACTCATTCAGTTCTATAGGCAACATTTATTACCCCACCCAATCAGTCAACTGCTAAACCACATCCCTATTAGCCAATCAGTCAGGGCATAACATCATATATGCAGAGAGGTAGTCTGGTCAACATGAATTAGGCAGAGAGGCATATAGGCAACATAGATTGAGTATGAATCAGTTAGGGCATAACCATCATAGGCAATCAGTAATTACATATTCAAGCAATACCCAAGCACTCATTCAGGCATATAGGCAATATTTATTACCCCACCCAATCAGTCAACTGCTAAACCACATCCCTATTAGCCAATCAGTTAGGGCATAACATCATATAGGCAGAGAGGTAGTCTGGTCAACATGAATTACGCAGAGAGGCATATACGTAACATAGATTGAAACTGAATCAATTAGGGCATAAACATCATAGGCAATCAGTTAGGGCAAAAAATCATAGGCACCATTTCTTACATATGCAACATATAGGCAACATAAATGAAACTAGATTCTTTATCACCGAGTTAGGCAACATATAGGCAACATTCTAACCAAATTAGGCAACGTAGTCATGAAAGCTAAAAGTGGAACTTATGACCTTGATTTTTTGGGCGTAGGCAGCCACATTGAAACCAGTTTATCCAATCTTTCTTGAACTTTAGGTTCCGGGTTAGCATGTGCACTCGAAGGTAGAAGATACCCCACATTCGTTGTATCCACTGGCCGAAGGTAGATGAATATGATATTGTCAATGGAGGCTTGACCTCTTCGGTCCAAGATCTCAGCCTCAGGGACAAAACCGGGCAAGATCTTAGCCTCAGGGATGCAGTCGACTAAGATCTCAGCATCTGGGACGAAATCGGCCCATCCGGATGAATCCTCTGAGCCCTCAACCACCACACCTTTAAAATCACCATGCATGTTCAAAACCGAGTAATTTACGGCCAAGATCTCAGCATCTGGGATGAAATCGACCCATCGGGATGAATCCTCTGAGTCCTCAGCCACCACACCATTAAACTCACCATGCATGTTCATAACCGAGGAATTTACGGCCATTAATGGGAGGCTTTGAAGATTGAATGGGTGGGATGACTGCAGATGAATGGACAGAGATGGAGGAGAATTTTCCAGATGAGGATGGAAGGAGTAATGAAACGACGGAGAGTTTCGAGAGTGGAAGGTGCGAGAATATGGAAGGAGTAATGAAAGGACGGAGAGTGTGGAGTGGAAGGTGCGAGAAGTGGGTAAGATAATAAATGTGGGTGGGTGATAATAAGTGGAATAAAGGTGGGTGAAGTTATTAATCACGAGGGTAGTGAGGTAATTTTAGGTAAAAAATATTTCCTAATATAGAAAGTGGAAGTTTTAATTGGAACGGACGAAAAAGGAAAGTTGGAAGTTTTTTAAGGAACGGAGGGAGTATAATATTACAATACTAGTAGTAAAAACAAGTAAGGTTGAAGTTACTTTTCTAACTCATAACTCGCTAAATTTATTGTAGATGATCATTTTAAACGGATATAACTAAAAATACACGGAGCGGGTACATGGCGGGTAATAGAGCGGCATGTAAAAAACCGTAACGGTCCCGTTACCTGTAAAAACAAAACAAATATTCCTCGGCCCGTACCCGTTACCCCGGTCAAAGCGGTTTTCCCCGTTTTGATTGAGGCAGTTCAGTGCGGGTATCCATCCGATCGGTCAAATGTATGAACTTGACGTTTGCTTTCGACAAGATATTTTAGGAGCTCAATTAATAGAAGAACAAATGTGTTGCGTGCCCTTTGACTTTTGAGGGAATTAATGTTATACAATCAAATGTAAAAAACAGGTGGATGATAATGGGTAATTAAAACATTTAATGTAAAATGAGTTGCTTAAAAAGAAAACATTAATAAGTAAATGGAACATCCAAAAAGAAGTGTAAAGATTTAAACAAAGAGGAGCTGAGTGTTAATAAATGACTGTTTTTCATTCAAAACAAAGACAAAGTTACGTAAATCAGCTGTTTAATTGCTTTGGCGTTCTGTAAATTTGTGCTTAGGATCAAACACCCGCTCCTCATATAAATAATTTATCAGCCATATATTTCTGCACCGGCAAAGACACATTTTGTTGACAAAGCACCTGACGAGCAGTAGATTTGCGCAGCCACTGGTATGAAATCTGATCCAGTGACCCATCACTGAAATTTCGAGTTTCCTTTTTCTTCTTCTTTCTATGAAATTGGAAACTTTCTGTGAATGAGGCTGATGGGCAGTAAAGACAGAGCTGTGAGAAAAGGGAAGACTTAGGCAAACATTTCTTTCTTTGCTGCATTTTTTAAGTTAACCCAGCTCAACCGTCTACCAAGGCCTTTTGAGGAGACGGAAGGTAGTAGAAATTAGACTGGGTTTTCATTCCAAGTAATCAAAGTTACTGTAAGCTAATAACATGTAGATTTCTAATGTCATGTGGAATTACTCTATTACATGTATCTGGATCATTGAAACCAACAAATTTGGAACTTGAGTTGTAGGCAGTCCCCCAATCCTTTCTATAAACTAGAAGCATTTTCACACTTCTATGCCTTCTGCTGTCTGGGTAACTGAATATTATGTATCCATTGAGAAAGTTGTGTACATCAAGCAGGCACATACTGGTAGATCAAGAATGAGTTTGAGACATCGTGTGGCTATGGCTGTTGTGGTGGCTGCTTTACTGTGGTCAGAGTCTGGAATTCTCTGTGGTGGAGAGACATTGAGTTTTGCTTTAGAGAGGGCGTTCCCCACGAGCCATAGAGTTGAGATGACACGGCTTAGATCACATGACCAAACAAGGCACAGAAGAATCTTGCAGTCTGCTTTAGGCGGTGTGGTCGATTTTTCTGTTCAAGGAACTTATGATCCTTCTCTTGTTGGGTAATGTTATTATTTCTCTTTATTTCAATTACTGGATGATTCAAGAAAATTAATGAAATTTTATGTTTTCAAAGGCTATATCTTATGTTGCTGCAATTGGTATTGTAATTCTTTTTGATAAAAAGTTCCTTAAGATATCAAGTTGGACTATATTATGACAAATGTGGTGGGAATAGTTGTGATAATCATTAACTTGTTAGTTTTCAGTGCATAATAAATATGGAGTACTACCTACATTCCAAAAGAGTGTTGTTTGACTGATGCAATATTTTAATTTTGGTAAGGTGGAGCCTATCATAAATCATGAGCAATAATTTTTTTATTTTTACTATACGCAACTTTAGAAATCACACGACAAATTAGTTACGCTTGATCAAACTGGATTCCTTTTTTGGTATGGAGGAGATGTAGATTTACTTTTTCTGTATGTCCTAGTTTTGAAGCTTTTTTTGTGTGTTTATCATTCTACTTTGAAATTTGAAATACATGGTTCTGAAAATAATGAGAAGCATTTTGAAACCAACAATATTTATTTTGGTTTAGGCTTTACTATACTCGTGTTCAGTTGGGTTCTCCTCCGAAAGAATTCTACGTACAGATCGATACTGGAAGTGATGTTTTATGGGTTAGTTGTGCTTCTTGTAATGGTTGTCCTACAGCTAGCGGGCTTCAGGTATAATAAACACAGCCTTCTTTTTCTTGATTGAAACCCAGTGTTAATTAGGTTTACATTTGAGAATACTGAATGTGCTATAAAACTACCACATGTTATAACTTATAATAAACACAGCCTTCTTTCTCTTATTCCAAACCCTTAAAAGTGTTAATTTGGTTTACATTTGAGAATACTCCTGTTATAAAACTACCAAATGTTCTATTCTTACAGATTCAACTCGAGTTCTTTGACCCAGCAAGCTCTTCAACAGCATCATTGATCTCTTGCTCTGACCGAAGGTGTGCTCTTGGGAAACAGTCTTCTGACACTGGATGTTCGGCTGAGAGTCAATGTAGCTACACCTTTCAGTATGGTGATGGCAGTGGAACTTCAGGTTATTATGTAGCTGACTTTATCCATTTGGACGCCGTTTTTGGTTCTTCATCAATTTCTAACTCCTCAGCTCAAGTGATTTTTGGGTAAGCTATCTTGTTATATATGTGCAATTACTAAGGTGGAAGATTTAATATTATTTGAATAGTGCCTCCGTCACAAAAAAGAGATCATGTTTGACCAAGATAGACCTTCTTTAAATTGGTAAGGTACATCTGCAATAAATAAGAGATTCTTCTTAAGTTCTTACAATTAAATATTGAGTTAGTTTAGTTAAATTTATCATCAACTTTTATTTGACTTATTTTGGAAATTACTCAAAAACCAGCTTTGTTTTATCAAACTACGAACTTTTTTTTGGAAAGGAGTACTTTGTTCCCTCTCTGGTAGTGCTTTTAATGTATTTTCTGACATGACAGATGCAGCACATATCAGGTCGAGGATTTAGCAAAACCTGACCGAGCAGTTGATGGAATCTTTGGATTTGGGCAACAAAGCATGTCAGTTATCTCACAACTTTCATCACATGGAATAGTGCCAAATGTATTCTCTCATTGTCTTAGAGGAGGTAATGCTGGTGGGGGTGTACTGGTACTAGGTCAGATTGTGGAGCCGAATATCGTTTACACACCACTTGTCCCATCACAGTATGTTTTCACTTTTCAGCCTCGATGATAGCATAATAGCATTGTTTACTTGAACAAGTTGACACCCCTCTCCAACCTGCAAAACAAGATTCATTAATAGACTCACTCCATTCTTAAAGAAGTTTACTGTAAATTAAGGAAATACAGTTTGTCATCAATGAGTCGTAACTTAGTAACCTAATAAAAAAGACATACTAGAATGACCAAGTTTCCCTCGCATATTTACATTTACTTTAGATCACTGCTTTTAATACCTAAAAATTAATAGGGGTATGTTTGACAATTTGTGAAAAATATATATTACCACCATAAAACTGTCATATTTCTCAGCTGGAAACTTATTTAGGAACGCAAGGAGTAATCACACAGAATTGTTAGAGCCTTTCCCTTTTCTCTTGGTCGTTGGTACTAGATTTGTGCATTTCAATTTGTGCTTCTCTACGATCCAGTGAAATAAGTGGTCATAGTCAAATGTTTTGATAAAATCTGACCTTAGGGGTTTAATGTTGTCGTGGAAGATAATTAAGGGTTTAGCGTTGAATATTATGTATATATGATATGACTAACAACTGGTTTGAAACTCCTTGATTTAAGTCCTCTTTTATAGCTTGCTTAAAATAATTTTTTTGTTGGTTTATTTTTAAATTCCTTTGTTTTACGTGTTGCTGACTATCACTATGAGTAAAGTACATTTTGCTCGGCTGACAAGTACTCCTGCTTGCTCTAATTGCTCAGACCACATTACAATTTAAATCTTGAGAAGATTCTTATCAATGACCAACCTTTACCCATTGACCCAAAAATATTTGCAACAACAAACAATCGAGGGACAATAGTAGATTCTGGAACAACTTTAGCATACCTTGCAGAGGAAGCATACGATATCTTTATTAATAGAGTAAGTTATTATTATTTCAGCAAGAAACATTCAACTATTAGATGTATATATTCTAAATACATATTGAATATTTTATTAGTTTGGTAACCTAGTGTTCTTGTTTACATAGATTTCCCAGATCGTTTCAGGATCTGCACGTCTACTCTTTACAAAGGGGAGCCATTGTTATCTATCCACATCCAGGTGCCCCTCCGCATTGTCACTTTACACCTCCTTTGTTGCCTCACTTCTTTAGCAGGTATTTGAATCTGACATTGCTTCTTTTTTCTCTTATAGCATCTCAGATATATTCCCCAGTATTAGTTTGAGTTTCGCTGGAGGTGCATCAATGGTTCTAAAGCCTGAAGACTACCTTTTACAGCAAAACTCTATCGTGAGTTCCTGTGCTTTCTTCACTCTTTGGACATTTTGTATGCATGTCAAATCATCTGTATCAAACTTTTTCTGAAGATCTGTGAAATTTTAATGGTTTCATACTTTCTTTTTTGGAAGTCTAATCTTTGTAATGTTCCTAGTATCGAGCCCTTTTAATACGTGCCGGTATTTTTGACATGTTTGATTAACTAGAGGTTGTCTTTTAAATATTGTCACTGTATGACAAGAAATCTTTCCTAGGACATTCACATTAACTTGTTGTCACGTGTCACATTTCTAGGGCTGCTAACTGCTATTTGATTCCCTCATGCATTCATTCTGTCTGGATTTAGTTTGCAAATGAATAGTTGCTATTAATGTCATTCTTTATTATTTATAACAGCATATATTTAGTCCCTCTGAGGTCATGAGGTAGTATGTAGTTGATGTTCCTCTTTAGTAGAAGTATTAGTCTGTTTTTAGGTGTTTTGTTATTCTATGCCAAATAATAGTCGTTTCAAGAAAAATATTATTCCCTCCGTCCCTTAAAACTTTGCCATCTTTCCTTTTTGGGACGTCCCAAAAAACTTTGCCACTTTCCCTTTTAATCAATTATTTTGTGGTTTCTGTTATTTCTCTCCTCTGCACAAAACTCAACCACACAGTTTTTACTTTATTATTCTCCCTGCCGGTCAACTTTGGCAAAGTTTTAAGGGACGGAGGTAGTATAAAATTATAATAATGGCATATTCCCTCAATTTCCATTCCATTGTAAATGTCATTTTGGCCACAAACGTTTCCAAAAGTTATCGTCAATTTAAGAGCTCAAGAGATATTTTTTCTTTATGTTCCAAAACTACCATTTCTGCTCTCCTTAGACATAGCCTAAGAGCTGGGTCATGTTGGTGGTAGATTGATACTTTGGATATGTCTATAGCTAGCTTTTCTGACTTCCACAAATCCGTGAATCTGTGATGTATTTTAAGGGCAAAGTTTCTATCACCCGGTATGATATGGGATCCTACAGTTTATGCACCCCTTAAAAGGCAGATATTTTCTTTTCCTTGTTTTGTTTTATATACATGCCTTATAGATATATAATTTCATGGAAAAATTGAAAATAATAATTCCAACTAGCAATTAATAATCTCAACTATCAATTATTCTTGGGTGGTCCCAACTACAGGGATCATTTTCCGAAAATACTCCCTAACCGGCTACAACCTAGTATAACAGGTCATTTTTAAATGAGAACTATAGTCGATCTTTTTGTTTTAATCCCAAACTATAGTCGATCTTTTTGTATTAATCCCAATTATCAACTCTCAATTTTCTGAAGATATAGAAATATTTTTATAAATTTCCAAACTAATTTTATTTAAACATGTAAAATTTATAACAAAATTCTACTAATCTGCCGAGGTTAAAAAAAATGTACCGATGTTAAATAAAATCTTTATAGTCATTTTTAATTTATTGTCACTAAAATCTCATTTCTTTTTTTCCAATTACTTTTTCCAATTGTGTTACCAATTTATGATTTTGCATTATTTTCCTTTATTTAAATTTACATTTTTTGTTTTCAACAAGTATATTGTGATTAAAAAATTTTCGATTAGAGCTTTATTCTAGTTTTTTTCACGAAAAAATATTATTTTTATATTTTATGCTAACTTAATTGTAAAAATCTAAATTTATATTTTTTTCCATTTTAGTATTTTTAATTTCTTTCTATTTTTTTAATTTATATTATTATACTCTATAAATTATACTACGTGTGATACTACGTATAGTTTATCGTTAAATTATAAAGATTTGGGTTATATGTTTTGGAGTTTTGGCTATTTTTAATGAAAAGGTATTGATTTTATAATTTTAAGTTATGCAATGGAAATTGTAAAAAATGTAGAAAAAGTGTAAATAGCTTGAAATGACGATGAAAATGTATGATAGAGCATTAGAACATAAAAAGTGAGAAAAGTAAGGAAACCTGTGTATATATAAATAATTTTTTTTACAAATATAGGCAAGTTGTGCATGTAATAAAATATTTCTATAAAGTATATATGACAATTGAATAGATTAGGATGGATCGGATTACTATTTTATTTATTTATTTGCAACGTTTTCGATTTTTGATATTTGGACTACTAAAATCCGACCAATCATAGTTCGGATTATTATAAGTACTAAGTAGATATCCTTTTTTAACCTGGACAATCGGTGACCCGGTGAGATGACCCCTATAGTTGGATTCACCCAAGAATAATCTATAGTTGGGATTATTAACAATGGACCGGCAATAGTTGAGATTATTATTTTCAATTTTTCCTAATTTCCACTATATGACTAAACATCATTTTGCGCCGTTCTTTTATTGTTTAGGATTGTTAATTTGGTGACGTAATTACATATGCTATGACATAGGGTGGATCTGCCATCTGGTGCATGGGATTTGAGAAAATTCCAGGCAAAGGAATAACAATTTTAGGAGGTAAAACATTTATGCTTGGTGTGTCTGGGTGTTCCTGGATTCTAGAGAGATTTAATGTGATACGCCTCTGCATTTGTGAGGTCTGGAATGATAAACCTGTTACTTTTTCACGGGAAGAGAATGCAAAAAAACGCTTTTGGGCTGTTGTTGGCTAGTTTCCCAATGATTTTACCCTTTGTAGATTTTGGGTTTTCATTGGCATTGGCTCTTCTTTCTTCATCCAACCTTTAAGGGTGTTGTTGAATGCTTGGTAAATTGATGAGTATAGGTATTAGAGTGGACATGATTGGGTTAGGGAATGAGGATGTTTTTAATTCAATTGGCTCTAGACCGACCAGACTTCGGCAATTGTAAAATACACATAGAACAGACATCTACCAGACCTGACTTAAACAGATCAGATCAGACCACTATACCAAAATTTCAGTCTAATTAAAAACATAGTGAGAATGAGAATACTACCCCAAACTGAGGGGGAGGGGTTAAGGCCTTGGGGATATCCCCCAAAGTGGAGAATCAAAACCACTATTAACCTTTCATTAGTTCCTCTCAAGAATCACTTTAATTACCATTCCCCTTCTCCCAAACCCTTCGATCAAGCACGTCTCTTAGGCACAATGTCATGAGACACACACACATACAAATGAATTTGTTCATTCTTATTTACTTTTTTTATTTTATTTTGCAGATCTTGTATTGAAAGACAAGATCATTGTTTATGATTTGGCTAACCAACGCATTGGATGGGCAAATTACGATTGTAAGTTTTATCTTTATGAGAACACTGAGCATTTATAAAGGTTTCCAGTAGTGCTTCCTTTGTCTCTATTTGTCATCCAATTATAGTATTTTTCGCCCATCCATTTTGCGACAACACAATTGTCACTTATGAAGATATATTCATATTTTATGCTTGGGCATTAATAAATGAACTGCCATTTTATACTATTGGTAGTTAGTAGTCTATGTCCTCATTAAATAAAAACTTTCTCTATCCTTGCGGCTGTGACTCATAAATGGATGCCAACTAAGAGCAATATACAGAAAAGTTCATTCTGTGAACATCAATACATCTTAAGATACATTCTAGTAAGAGATAAATCTCACATCAAGTAAATATGAATGTTCGAACCAATATATGGTTTTATAAAATTTTGGATCATTCATTTTAACAGTCAAGAGTTGTAAATAGAATTTGAATACGATTACAAATATGTTTTTTGATTCGATTCATGATTCAAATTCGACATTGTGAAATTGAATTCCAATAAATAGAATTCGAATACGATTACAAATGTGTTTTTTGATTTAAAGAGTTTCCGAATACGAATACAAATACTATATTTGATTTGAACAATATTTGAATATATTCGAATTGCATTGGAATATACATACATACATACATACATACATATATACATTCATACAATATATAATACTTCGTATAAATAACTATAATATAATGTACAGATATTAATAACATAATATTAATGTAATGAAAGTCTGAAACTAGTAGATATTTTGCACGTTTTATTTTGACATTATAATTCTCCAGTGAGTATTCATATTGATATTAATTTTGGAGAAAATGACTTGTATTTGATTTGTAAGAAAGAAGTGCCCTATGAAAATATGGCAAAAAGGACAAAGTATACGAATATTCGGTAATTTATACCAATAAGAATAATATTATTAAGTTTTGGTTCAATTTGATTCGCTTACAACCCCAATAACAGATTGATCGTTTAGAATGAAATTACAAGTTCAAAAAGTGAAACTATTCTGAAGAAGTTTTTTAAACTCACCTATGCAGGTTCAACATCCATTAATGTTTCCATTGCTACTCCCAGAGGCAAGAGTGAATTTGTAAATGCAGGACAGATTGATAAGAACCGATCATCACACAACAGTCCATTCAAGCTAAGTTCAGTCAAAATATTGGCTTTTATGTTAAATGTATTCACAGTGCTTGTCATCCATTTTGCTTTGTAGCTTCCTTGGTGTCTGTATATTTCAGGTCATAGTTTGTATAGAGCCCTTCCTTTTTTGGCGGCAAGTTTTTCAATCTTAACATTTAAGTTTGTGTACTGTTTGTTCTATTTGTGGTTGTATTTGGAGGCCAGACAAATTTCAATCACCCTATACAGTATCCTTCAATTTATTATACACCATTCATCTCATAAATTTATATGGAGTACGGGTTTGCTTTATACATGTTTTTGGAGTGTGGAATCATGTTTAAAGATTTGTTTATAAATGAAAGAGTTAAAAAATGGACAATCGGTCTCAGTATGGAAAGGGAGGCGGCTACCTGGTCCTGGAGACGAGATGATACACTCGGCGCCGCTAGTTGAAATAGCAGACATGAATGTAGTGGTTCCACTGAACAAAACAGGTGACAAGTGGAATGTGATATGCAAAAGATAGAGGCTCTGTTTTCAGAAGATGAAAGAATGGCTATACTCTCTATTCCTCTAAGTGAGAGGCGACCCTTAGATGACTGGTGGTGGAATGAAGATTCAAGGGGCATCTATATGGTTAAAAGTGGTTATAGATTAATTCGAGGTGAGTATATAGTGTTAACTATTGATGGCTGGGTAGGGTGGACCAGGGTGTGAGGCTTGGAGATTCCTCCTAAATTAAATTGTTTCTTTTGGCAATTGTTGAATTACCAACAACAATTAATTTAAAAGTAGGAAGGTGCATATTCCTATACGGTGCATGTTTTGCGACGCGGATATGGAGTCGGAAACACATGTGTTCAAAAGTTGTTCTATGACCAGCTCGGTTTGGCAACAGATGGTCTCAAATTTGTTCAGCAGGGAGATTATTTTGACACGTTTGAGGCCTGGATCCGGAGTTATTTTGAACATCTGCAGCAGGAGAAGCTTTGCCACTTCATTACTGCTTGTGGAGCCTATGGAAGGCGAGGAATGATAAAGTGTGAAAGAATAAAGAGATGGGTTGTCAACATGTGGTGGAACCGTGGAAGTCGGGGCAGCCATGCTAAGAAACTGGAGGCAGGTCAGAGGTTCAAGAATGGAACAAAGTAAAGACAGTGGAAAAGAAAGCTGGAGATGGCCGAAGCAGGGGTTCTCACAATTAATGTAGATGCAACTCTTGATGCCAGAAGTACATGTGCATGGGCATGAGGGATGACATTGGTGGACTGTTTCTTATGGCAGGATGTCACTGGACCTATGCGGACTGGGCAGTTGAGGTTTCAGAGGCCATTAGCACAGTACCCGTGCATACGTACAGGAAACAATAGTTGGTCCATATATATTTTTATTCATGATCAATCATTATTCCGTTTATCTTCTTATACCTAAAAACACTATTTATGAGAGAAAAGATGCTTTCGCTCAATTATCAGTACTTTTAATTATATTTTTATTACATTCTCTCAATTATTTGTCCCACAATCAATAAAAGATGAGGTTTTCCTCTTTTCATTATGTATATATGGATGTAGGCATGGACCCGGTTCGGTCCGGGCCGGGCCTCGGTTCGGTTCTGTCCGGGTTTTTTTTTGGAAAAGTTAGGCCCGGAACCGGTCCGGGTACCTACCGAGTCCGGTTCGGGCCGGGTTACCCGGCCGGGTAGCGGGTCGGGTTTGGACTGGGCCGGCCCGGGCCGGTTCGAACCGTGTATTTTTTTTTAATTAATTCAAGAACTGTTGGATATAAAAAAGTTAAAGTATATTTATTTGAAATATGTTGTACAATTGAGAATTAAGAAAAATTTAAAGCATGAAATACATTTTCTAATAAATAATAATCAATTGAAATCTTCGCCATCTTCGGTTGTTTCCTCCATAAAGTGGCGGGTGGGGGCGATGCACACTTCTTGAGTTCTACGTTTCGCCTTTAACCAATCGTGGAAGCAAACAAGCGTCTCAAGAGAGCTCGCGCTCAATCTCGTTATGTAATTTGTTAGCACGTTGCCAGTCGCACTAAATTCTTGTTCTACGACAACTGTTGATACCGGCATTGCTAGCACTTGCTTAGTCATCTTTGATAAAATCGGGAACGTTCTTTCTTTTTCCTTCCACCACTTTAGAACGTTAAAGTCAACCCCTTCTTCATAATCAACAGGAAATGTTAGATACAAAGAAAGTTCGTTAATCGAGCTTTGTTCACTAACATGAGTAGATTTACTTTTTTTCATGAGATTGCCAAATGCAAATTTAAAAAGTGATTTTCCTTTAGATAAAGAAGATATTCGTGTTGGGGGAGGGGCTGCGTGACCATATTGTGAATGAAACTCATTAAATAATTGATATAATAAATTACTAACATCTTGCAATTCTTGTTTAGGGTCTATGGGCTTTTCCTCGTACATAGGAAATGGACCAAAAAAAGAAGCATAATAGTAATCTAAACAATGCCCCAAAGCATCAAGTCTACGACGAGGATCAAGAATAAATGCAATACCATATATATGCATAATATGTGAATAATATTTTAAAAACTTCTCTTTAATGTAAGAAAATGCAATACCATATATATGCGGAAAATTCACAAAAAGCGCCGGCGAGATTAACAACTTCAATAAAAAATTGGTTTGCGGTAGGTGTATAAACATGACTAAAAGTTTGAGTTGCATCATTAAAATATACCAAAACATTCACAATTTTTTCCATAGTGTCGATGTCAGTCGGGTTTATAATATAGTTAGCATATTCTTTTAAAAAAGCAGGAAAATGGTCTTTAAATCTAACAAGTACATCAATTAAGTTACAAGTACTATTCCAACGAATAGATAAATCTTTAGAAAAAACACAATATTTGACACGTCTATCCCTCAAATATTGACGTCATTGCATTTTTAATGGATTGCTAACTAGCCCAAATAAGTCTAATCCCCCCTTCATTACCTCCATAGCATCTCCCAACGCGGCTAAACCGTCTTTTACACATAAATTTAAAATATGACATGCACAACCCTCATGAAAAACCTACCCATCAAAGTAGAAGAACCACACAATTCACGCAATCTAAGTATAACAGCAATATTATTACTAGCATTATCAAAACCCATAGCAAACACCTTATCAATCAAATTGTACTCAATTAAAATACGCTCAAGCAGAATATAAATATTATCAGCGGTCTGTCGATCATTAAATTCACGAAAAGCAAGAACTCATTTATGCATTTCTCAATCATTATCAATATAATGTGCAGCCACACCCAAATAATATACATGATGATGAGTAACCTCCCATATATCACTACAAATACTAACACGTCCATCAAATTTTGCGAAAAATATTTGTAATTTTTCTTTTTTCAAAACATATTGCCTTATAACTTCTTTTTTAATCGTTTTGCGACTATAGTTTCGATATTGAGGATTTAAAGTACCTTGAGCATATTATTTTAAAGCAAGACTTTCAGAAAAAATAAAAGGCAATTTTTCTTCAACAATTAAATGAGACATACTAGTCAAATGTCTTTGAACATCGTAGGAGAAATTACCAAACGGTTGGCCAGCTCCAAACCTCGTTATTTGAGTTTGCTTCCCCTTACTTTGGTCTATTTTCGCATATTGCACGGGGTGTTTCGACTACAGATGCCTACTTAAACTGCCCTATCCTTCGAAAATCTCCAAGCTATAAATTTTGGGGCAATGTTCACAATGTGCATACCATTTTTGACTTTTCTTGTCTTTCACCTTTTTAAAATTGCCGTCAATAATTGGTGATATATCTTTCTTACCGGGTTGGGATGAACCAGCCTCGTCCACGTCCTCGGCCTAATAGGAAAATGAGAAATGTACCAATTAACTAATAGGAAAATGAAAAATGTACCAATTAACTAATGACTTACTATTAATAAAAAATGTAGGTTAAATGAGAAATGTACCTCTTCCTCATTGGCCGGGGTGTCGTGACCCTCGCCCTTGGCTGTTGGGGGATCCTCCTCTGCATCGTCATCCTCGAGCTTATCTTCAACCTCGGGAATGTCATGTTGTTGGTAAAACCGCTCATCTTGTTGAGACAATATGTTACGATTTAGGTTAATAAAACGATAAATTAAAGAGCAAGAACACAAGAATTTACGTGGTTCACACAATCGAGGTGATTGTGCTAGTCCACGGCGAACGAGAGAGAGCTGTTTTATTATTATGTCTGCATCTTGAAGTATTACAACGTACAAAGGGTCGTTTAAATAGGTTTACGAAAACCTAAACAAAGATTAGAGCCGCAGGCCCAAAAAATTAGGCCCGTAATTAAAATTAACCCGTAGACCCGGTCGGGTCTCCTATTTGACCCGTTCGGGTAACTCCTCAGCAAGTATGCCCGGGTTGAGACCAGGGCGGGTAACCAAAGCAGAAAGGTAGAAACTCCACTGGCCCGGTCGGGTCCCCTTCTTGACCCGGTCGGGTGTCGCCTCAAAAGGCATACCCGGGTAGACACCAGGTCGGGTATGCTAAACAGAAGCCAAAACCTTCCACGGACCCTGTCGGGTAAACCTCCTTACCCGATCGGGTTTCCCAATCCAGAGAGTTGCCCGGCCAAATTCACATCATACCCGGTCGGGTGACTGACCCCACCCGGTCGGGTATCTACTGCTGCTGCATAAACAAGGCTCCATCTTCAACAATCTCCCACTTGGAGGCTTGTTCAACAATCATCTGCCATCCAAGAACTTGTATCCTCTGTAAGACCCCTGATCTCTCTCTCTCTCGTTCACGCCTTCTCATCAAGTATCTGGAAGGCCAGTTGAAGCCATGCAAAGCTTCAACTTCTCCGTTGTCACCGCCTTGGTTAGCATGTCTGCTGGATTCTTCGTACCAAGGATCTTCTGCAAATTTATAGTACCATCTTCAATCAACTCTCGGATGAAATGATACCGCATCTTAATGTGTTTCGTTCTGCTGTGAAACACTGGATTCTTTGCGAGATGAATAGCACTCTGGTTGTCACAATATAGAGCGCAATCTCCCTGCTTCATGGCCAACTCAGAAAGAAAGTTCTTCAACCAGATCAACTCCTTGGCCACTTCAACAATGGCCATATACTCTGCTTCTGTGGTTGAAAGAGCCACACTCTTCTATAGTCTGGACATCCAACTGATTGCCGTACCTCCAATAGTGAAAACATACCCCGTTGTGCTCTTCCCGGAATCATAACAACCCCCCAAATCAGCATCGGCAAATCCTTCAAGGATCACACCATTCCTTCTGAAACATAGGGCAGTTTCAGAAGAGCCTTTCAAGTAGCGCAACAGCCACTTAACTCCTTCCCAATGCTCCTTTCCTGGATTTGACATGAACCTGCTAACAACTCCCACTGCATGAGCAATGTCTGGCCTTGTTGACACCATCGCGTACATCAAACTGCCAATGGCTGATGCATAAGGAACTTTAGCCATTTCTTCTTTGTCTTCATTGGTCTTTGGAGACTGCTGCTTGGAGAGTTTCAGTTGACTCCCTAACGGTGTACTCCTTGGTTTGGCATCCGTCATTCTGAACTTCTCAAGGACCTTTTGAATGTACTTTTGCTGTGAAAGCTGTAAAGTACCTTCTATCTTGTTTCTGACTATGCTCATCCCAAGAATCTGTCTTGCTTCCCCTAAATCCTTCATCTCGAATTCTTCTGACAACTTCTTCTTAAGTTTGTTGGTCTCCTGCATATTTGCTCCAGCCACCAACATGTCATCAACATATAAAAGAAGGATGATGTATGATGACTTGAATTTCTTCAAGTAGCAGCAATGGTCCATCTTGCATCTAGTGTATCCATTCCGCTGCATAAAACTGTCATACCTCAAGTACCACTGTCTAGGAGCTTGCTTTAGCCCGTATAGACTCTTCTTGAGTTTGCACACCAACTTCTCCTTACCACTCACTGAGAACCCTACTGGTTGAGCCATGTAAATGTCTTCTTCAAGGTTGCCATGAAGAAAGGCAGTCTTTACATCCAGCTGCTCCAATTGCAAATTTTCAGCAGCAACAATACCAAGGATCAACCTGATAGTAGTCATCTTCACAACCGGAGAGAAGATTTCATTGTAATCAACCCCCTTCTTCTGTTGGAACCCCTTGACAACTAACCTCGCCTTGTATCTTTTGCTCCCATCTGCTTCATCTTTGATTCTGAACACCCACTTGTTCTCCAAAACTTTCTTTCCCGGTGGTAACTTGACTAAGGACCAAGTTTGGTTCTTATCAAGTGAGTCTAACTCATCCTCCATGGCCTTCTTCCACTGTATGGAATCCTTCACAATCAGCGCCTCTGTGTAAGATTCTGGCTCTCCATTCTCGGTCAGCAACAAATAATTTGCTGAAGGAGAATATCTGTTAAGAGGTCTTCTGTTTCTAGTGGACTGTCTGATTTGTGGAGTAGCTTCCTCCGAGCTTCCACTATCTTCGTCACTCCCACTGTCTTCAGAAATTCCTGTA